AGAATCACTTGAACCCGGGAGGCAGAGGTTGCAGTGAGCTGAGATCACGCCATTGCACTCTAGCCTGGGTGACTAAGGGAGCCTCCGTCTCGAAAAAAAAAAAAAAAAAAAGAACTTTAGGGCAGTTCTGTTGTTTGGATACTTCTGTTGTTTAGAATCCCAAATAGTATCTTATTTTTTTAAAAAAACATGTATCTCAAAAACATTCTGCAGATGATATGAAATGACTGAACAGGGTACTAATTAAGCCTGTAAAGTCCTTGTTCCAAACTACTTGTCAGGTAGTAACAAAAATATATGGCAAAGAACAAACTCCTGTTTGTTTTTCAGAAGAATTAAATTAATAGTAGAAAGAATCTCAATTTAGAATCCCTTAAAAGCGGGAGCAACGGGGAATTTTATATCTTTTTCCATAAAAATAAAAGACGTGTAAGCAGAATTAACTTTTTGTAAGCAAAGAGGCATAAAACTACAGATTTCAGAGATAAAATCCAAAGAAAGGCTATAAACGGCATTAAACAAAACCTTCCATTTGTTATTAAAATACCTGAATTTTCAGGCAATACATGCTAAAAATACAAGGATCACCACAAATTATTTTGGAACTGAGCCCATAAAAAGTAGATATTATAAAATTCTAAAAAGCTAAAAAAGGAGTCAGTAAAGGAACATGAATGACACTAAGGAAAAAGGGGATTAAATACATGTTCTTAGCTTAGCAATAACTAATCTCTCTGGAAACATAAAAAAGATAAACACAGATTTTTAAAAATAAACAATATGTGCAATGAATGCATGATACATCAACACAAAAGCAGACAGCAAAACAACCGTCAGCGGCCTTGACAATGAACAGATAAGTAGCTTGGCGAACATAACACAAAGAGTACTAACACAGACGCCCCTAGAAACAGGACACTAGCATTTATGGTCACAGGTCACGCACAATTTTGCAAAAGAAAGATCTGAAATGGCATTTTTTATGAGCTGTGTAAGAATTAACAGAGGTATGAAGCAGGTTCCCAGAAGCTCCCCTAGTGGTTTAAATACCATCACCAAAAGAACGTCTTTAGAAGGCCACTGCCTCCTTCATGGAGATGAAAAGCATCGGAATATTTCCCACCTTTGTCAGCAGCTTTTCTAAAGTGGAATCCAGGTTCAATGTTTGTGTCTTCTAATGTAGATAGCACGATGAAAAGAACGGTGCCCTTGTGACCCATACCTAACTCCTGAAGGAGAAAAGGGCCAGCCACGCAGCAGGCAGTCTAATTTAAGGAGTTTAAAATCTTTTTACCTGGGAACTCAAAGGCATCACCCCTACACTGAGACCAGTCTTGAATACTGGGACCTTTCAACATGCTGAAGTGTTCCTGTGACGGTCTACAACCATACCACCATATGAATACTCTCAATCACAGCATTTCGGGGACAAAAAGACCTTTTTCCATTCAACCTCTCATTTCAGATGAGCAGAGAGAATCAAATACTCACGCAGGGTTCCATAGCTAGTTGGGACCAGAAATCCAGTGGAAATATTGTAAGCAAGCCGTCCAAGATGTGACCCAGGACGGCTTTGAGTGTGGTTCAACACAAATTCATCAACTTTCTTAAACTAGTATGAGGTTTTTTTTCTTTTTTCTTTTTTTGAGACAGAGTCTGGCTCTGTCCCCAGGCTGGAGTCCAGTGGCACAAGCTCGTCTCACTGCAACCTCCGCCTCCCAGGTTCAAGTGATTCTCTTGCCTCAGCCTCCCACGTAGCTGGGACTACAGGCGTGCACCACCATGCCCTGCTAATTTTTTGTATTTTTTTTAGTAGAGACGGGGTTTCACCATGTTAGCCAGGATGGTCTCAATCTCCTGACCTAGTGATCCACCTGCCTTGGCCTCCCAGTGTTGGGATTACAGGCGTGAGCTACCGCACCCAGCAGCAATTTTTTTCTTCTTTAGCTCAGCAGCTATCGTTAGTGTTCGTGTATTTTATGTATGGCCCAAGACAATTCTTCTTCTTCCAACATGGTCCAGGGAAGCCAAAAGATTGGACACAGCCGGAGGTGCAGCACAGTATCTTAACATTACCTCAATACTTTTTCCACCAAAGTATGTAAAATCAGCCACAGCCCAGAAAGAGAACTTCCAGCATTAAAAAGAGGAAGAGGAAAATGTAGAGGAAATCTACAAAGGAGGTTTTGGCCAACCGCAAGTCAGCATGGGACGCTGGACGCCTGGCTGTGCGAGAAACAGAAAGGTGAGAAGTTGGAAGAAAGGAGCACAAAGAGATGGGAGAAGGCAAAGGCAGATGCTGCCACTTAAGCACTAGTCTTACTAAATACAAGAAAAAAGAACTGTCATTAACAACTTAACGCTCTAAAGCACAGGAGCCTTTTTAAAGGGCTTGAGGAAGTGGCAGAGACAAACTCCAGGAAAGCCTGGGGAGGGGATCACATAGCAGCTCCCTGATTCACCGATTCAGAGGTGGTCCCAGCATCTTGATACGGAGACCGCCAACCCCACTGTCAAGTCTGAAGGATTCACAACAGTCTCACAGATTTAGTTACAAAGATTATGTCACAGATACGTACTGAAGTCAAGAAATGAGCACAGATCTGGGTAGCAAATCACATGTAGTTCTTTTCAAAATCTAAAGCTGTGTCCATGAAACACAGTCTCAAATCAATTACACACGTGCCAAATCAACTCTAAGATTTTACGGTTCAATTCTTTTATAAAAGCAATGAGACAACAGAGAATTTCAAGATAAATCTAAAACTGGTCGTGTGAAAAGCAAAGAAGTCTCATGGTCTCGGCCCAGCTTCGTGATTTGCACTACACAAATGATTTGCTTCCTAATCCATAAAGCATGCCTAGTAATAAGCGTCATGTGTGCCTTCCAGAAACTTGATTTAAACAAGGTAACGATCATAAAGCAATCTAAAAATGTAAGCACTCCATGAATTCTGGGCGTAACTTTGGAAAGGCATTTGACACCAGTCAAAAAATAGCATCTGGCTATATTGCGAAGTAGTCACCAGAAACAAAAAGGAAAATGCATTAATTTATTATTTTCAAACAAAGAACCCTGTGCTATTGACTAGTCTTGACATAGTTAATACGTCTTTTAAAAGTTTTAGGACAATTAAAAACTTACAACATTCCATTTTTATCTTTTCATTCCCTACTCACCAATTTCTTCTGTTTTATTTCTCTGCTTTCAGGTAAAGTTACATATACATTTTCTTCAAGGTCCTACTTTTCTTTCCTCTCCAATAAATCCAGTTGTATTAGAATACTGTCGCATCTCACTTTGACTCACCTCAGACCCTGAGTCCCTCTGATTCTCGGCACCTGGAAGCCTGGTTTAACATGGAATGCTTCCAGAGAATGCCTTGGAATCTCCACCAGTGCCTCCCCAAGACCTTCCCTCCCCACAAACATAAACCCTAAGAAACAACGCTATGCTTGCTATGCAAAGGCCTGCTTTAAGACAAGTCTCCTAGTAACCCTACTCCCTTTCCTACCAGATTCCAGCCCCATAGTCCCCTCATTACAGAGCCACCACTGTTCTCCACGGTCATCAAAATCAGGAATGACTGTGCCCTGACCCACTCATCCATGCCCCTCAAGGGCATTTCCTTCCTGCAACCACGATTCTTCCACGAAGTAGTTATCTTCAGGGGGTGTCCAAGTTAACGCTGTCACAGTCTACTATGGACCGAAATCCATGGAGTTTTGTCTAGAAAAAAACTATGTCTCGTGAAAATCATTTTATCTAGTGAGTCCACAACTATACAATGTGCTACATTCTGCTCTGTGGCTGCATATGAAGAAAAGACTACATGCAGTGACATGCACCTGTAGTCCCAGCTACTCAGAAGGCTGAGGGGGGTGGATTACTTGAGCCCAGGAGTTCAAGGGCGGTCTAGGCAATCTAGCAAGAGCCCATTTCTAAAAATAAGTATGTCAGGCATAGTACCTCACTCCTGTAATCCCGGCACTTTGGGAGGCTGGGGCGGTTGGATGGCTTGAACCCAGGAGTTCGAGACCAGCCTGTGCAACAAAGCAAGATTCCATCTCTAGAAAAAACATTTTTTGTTTAGCTGAGCGTGGTGAAGCACATCTGTGGTCCCAGCTACTCAGGAGGTTGAGGTGGGAGGATCACTTGAGCCCAGGAGGTTGAGACTGCAATGAGCAATGACTGTGCCACTGTACTCCAGCCTGGGTGTCAGAGTGAGACCATTTCTAAATAAATAAAAGGCACTTAGTTAGATCCAATGCAACATTTAGGTTTAAGGAGCAGCAAATAGTTTTGTTATTTAATAAAATCAGAAATACTTTAATATGGCCGGGCACGGTGGCTCACACCTCTAATCCCAGTACTTTGGGGGGCAGAGGTGGGCGGATCACCTGAGGTCAGGAGTTTGAGACCAGCCTGACCAACATGGAGAAACCCTGTCTCTAATAAAAATACAAAATTAGCCAGGCGTGGTGGCACATGCCTGTAATCCCTGCTCCTCCAGAGGCTGAAGCAGGAGAATTGCTTGAACCTGGGAGGCAGAGGTTGCAGTGAGCCGAGATCATGTCATTGCACTCCAGCCTGGGCAACAAAAGCAAAACTCCCTCTCAAAAAAAAAGAAATACTTTAATATATTTTAACTGGGGATTTGTATTCTACTTACCTAAGTAGGAATACCCAATCTGAAGTTTAACAGACCCAGTATTTTTAGAAAATATATGGAGTTCTCAAGAAATTCTCAAAATAAAATTAATTTAATGCATTTTAAACTTTTACAACTCAGTCTGCCATGGAACAATTCTCAAATGACCTAATCCTTTAGAAATCAAGCAGGCGCTGGGCATGGTGGCTCACGCCTGTAATCCCAGCAGTTTGGGAGGCTGAGGTTGGCGGATCATGAGGTCAGGAGATTGAGACCATCCTGGTCAACATGGTGAAATCCCATCTCTATTAAAAATACAAAAAATTAGGCAGGTGTAGTGTTACACACCTGTAGTCCCAGCTACATGGGAGACTGAGGCAGGAGGATCACTTGAACCTAAAGGGTGAAGGTGGCAGTGAGCCGAGATCACGCCACTGCACTCCAACCTGGGCGACAGAGCAAGAATCTGTTTCAAAAAAGAAAAAAAAAAAAGAAATCAAGCAGTGATAACTGCTAAACTTGAAAAGGGTGGGGAGGGAAACAGGCAAAAAAATAAAGAAATAAATCCCAGAACTTTAGAAGAGATTGTCTATACTAATGGTCCTCAAAGTTTGACCCTCTGGCCAGCAACGTTAGCATTACCTGAAAACTTATAAGAAATATACATTAGTGACCCCACCCTAGACCTACTGATTAGAAACTCTGGGGTGGGGCCCAATAATGTGTGTTCTTAGAGTGATTCTGAAACACACCAAAGCTGGAGAACCACAGGTTCAATCCAATCACTCCACTGATGAGAAAGAAGTGAAGCCAGTAACATCCTCAAACTCTTATAAGTTAGTGACCTTCAAAGTGATTCTTAAACTATATACCTGAATCCAAGTAGTCCCCATAGGATCTTCTAGGTAAAAAGACATCCTGATCTTTTGTAGCATTAATTCTAATATCATTACTATCTACTCAGATACAGGCAAGTATTTTTGTCATAAGTTATTTACATTTAATACATTAAAAAAAGGACTTGGCCGAGTGCAGTGGCTCATCCCTGTAAATCAACACTTTAGGAGGCCGAGGGGGCAGGCCACTAGAGGCTAGGAATTCAAAACCAGCCTGCGCAACATGGCAAAACACTGTCTCTACCAAAAAAAAAAAAAGGCCAGGCACGGTAGAATATGCCTGTAGTCCCAGCTCCCTGGGAGGCTGAGGTGGGAAGACTGCTTGAAGCCAGGAGGCTGAAGCTGCAGGAAGCCGAGATCATGCCACTGCACTCTAGACCCCGTCTCAAAAGAGACAAATAAAAAATGTTTTAATAAAATAAAAAGGACTTCACATGATTGACCTCTCTACAAAAATGACAACTCGAATCTCACAGGCTCTTTCTGTTTGGTTGGTTGGGTTAACTTTTGTTGCTATTAGCCGTGGTGGGTTTTGTCTTGTTATGGCTGTGTTTTCGTTTGGTTTCAAGGGCAACAGCAGGAATTGACGGAATACGTGGTTGATAATTTGTTTTTGTTTTGGGGCTTTTATTTACTTATTTTTTTGCCCCACCCAGAAGGTTCACACCAAAGATATTTGAAATGTGAGGAGTAAAGGGCTAGAAACTGCTTAAAAGAGAAGTCTTCCTATTTTATCTTGGAATGTATTCTATGACTTTTTTTAAAAAAAAAAAGATAACAGATTTGCATTTCCAATTGTGTTTGACTTACTGTATGATAAAATTACTTTTCATTTGTGGAACATGTAGTGGCAGAATGATAGGAAGACAACAGTTATCCTAGGAACAAGCTGTTGTGGACGAAGACAGCCCTAAAACCCAGACACACAAAGTAGCACAAAGTCGGTTAAGTCTGATGCCTCGTATAGATAGCAGAATATGTGTGTCGCCACTTAAAGGTACTAAACCAAATATTCAGCTACATCATCAACCCCCAATGTAGGATCTACTACATAAAATAAAATCTACAGTTTTTGGTCTTAGGGCTCTTATTCTAGACAAATGTTTGATGTATCTTATACCTCTAATACATATACCTTTCAAAGCCTAGTAGTGGTCATCTACACAATTAAACATGTTTCTATTTACATTTTAAATATCCTGTTTGGCAAGCTTCTAACTTGGGTGCTAGGATTACCATAGAAAAAAAATCACAGAATACATGAGATTTGGAAGCTGAAGAAAGAAATGTTTCCATTCCTGTTTGTCGTGTTTAAGTTGTTTTGTCAATGTCGTGCCACACTAAAGGTAATATTTTCAGTCCTTTTTCAGACTCCATTAACATATACAATTACCAAACAAACTTTGATTTTACAACCTAAACTTTCTGACTAACATAGTTCAGTGCATGATTTTATTTCCTCTGAAGAAGTTATCGTGGGCCGGGTGCCGTGGCTCATGCCTGTCATCCCAGCACTTTGGGAAGCCAAGGTGGGCGGATCACCTGAGGCCAGAAGTTCAAGACCAGCCTGGACAATATGGTGAAACACATATATATGAGCACTGATCGGTGTTGAGCAGAATATTAGGCCTTGCTGATAACAACAGTCAGCAAGACAAGAACACACACAGTTCCTTCCCCTCACAATGCATCTCAGAAAAAGTACTGATCAAATTCACAGGAATTTCATTCAGTTTATACACCAAGGGCTCGCATCCATTTGTAAATAATTACTCATAATCATAATTACTAATAATCCCTCCACTCAGCTCCTGAAAAGGGGGGACCACATGTACTACATGGAAAGCCACAGAACACACGAATGCTCCATAATATGAAGGCCCCACATAGGCCAAAAATATCACCCACTAAGCACCTTATAATCTATGAATGGGAAGTATGGTGTGAAGTCCTAGAAGATGACTGCAGACTTTTAAAGGCAGAATACCTTAGCCTAAATGTTGACCCGTCAAATCCTAGTTTTAAACACAGACATATCCTCTGTAACTGTGCCATCCAATACAGTAGCCACTAGCAGCTATTTACATTTATCAATTAGAAATTCAATTCTGGCCAGGCACAGTGGCTCACACTTGTAATCCCAGCACTCCGGGAGGCAGAGGTGGACAGACTGCTTGAGCCCAGCAGTTCGGAACCAGACTGGGCAACATGGTGAAACCCCATCTCCACTAAAAATACAATTAGCCAGACGTGGTGGCAGTCGCCTGTAATCCCAACTACTAGGGAGGCTGAGGTGAGAGGACTGCTTGAGCCTGGGAAGTAGAGGTTGCAGTGGGCCAAGATCGCATCACTGCACTCCAGCCTTGGTGACAGAATAACACCCTGTTTTAAAAAAAAAAAAAAGAAATTCAGTTCATCAGTCACACTTAATGTGCTCAATAGCTGTAAGTGGCTAGTGACTACCGTGCTGGATAAACACAGATCTATAAATCATGTCTATCTTCTCCAAAAGCTCTAAGGGACAGTGCTGCTCTAAAATACCTCTGTAATACTCAATCTGATAATTACAGCAATGAAATGTGACGAAGCACCTGTGCTCTGTTATGGCACATATAAGCATGTCCACTGGTAATGTAGTACTAGTTCTTCCTTTCCAAGTAAGCTGAAAAGTAAAATCAACCTTGGGGGTATCTCCCCCAGCGTACATTAGTAACCAAGGAAATTCACACCATCCAATCGGCCAATGAAGGATGAAATTCACAAACAAGTAAAAACTGATATTTTGCCCCTTCCTTCCTATTTCTTTGACGTGTTACCAGTACTGTGTCTTTCCCATGTAAGTTTTGTCTTGGGGTGCTTTTAGCTGTGTTTTTAGCCTAGCAACTGGTAGCAGATAAAGAGGTGAGGACAGTTCAAAACCAAGATGAGTGATTCAGGAAAACACTGACACAGATAACGCAACTTAAAAGGAAGTAAATTTAATTGTGAACCAATGCAATAAACTTAAGTGCTCACTGTGTGCCAGTGATGTGCAGATAAACAAGTCACCATTCCCACCTTTGAAGAGCCCAATTTAGTAGCCTTGTCCGTAACAAACACAGTGAGATATGCTGTGATATAAGGCAATAAAACACACACATACAATGCAGAGATGACGCAGGAAGCGTATTTTTTAGATGGTTTATGAGGAGAAATCAGGGAACATTTCCTGAAGGAGGTATCCAAGAAGCAGAAGAGCAAACTAAGCAGAGCCGTCCACAGGAACCCTAAGTGGTTTGGCAATACAGGAGAAAAATGTGTTTGGTGGTAAGGAAGATGTGGGTGGACAATGGGAGGAGGGAGACAGGGCTAGAGATCTATTTCCACACCAGACCACAGATACTCATGTTCTGGTCAGGTTTGCCTGAGTGGGTCTATAAGCTTTCCTCCCCAAAACTGCAAGTAATATGAAACCAATCCCTAAAATATGATGAATAATATACCCATGCCTGCCATACAGGTAACAATATTTGACAGCAATCTGTAGGAATATAAAGTTCTTTGTGACACGGTACCTCTTAATAATACATTTTGGTCACAAATACACTATAGCTAGGATCGTTTGTTTTCAGGGTGAGACCTCTGTTTACTCTGAGTTTTCTCTGGAATCTCTGTACAGAAAATACCAGTGAAATAGACTACTCCCATATCTAAATGTCCCACCAACAGTTTATCCGATCAGAAGACAAATGAAACAAATTAAGGGGAGAAAGGAGATGTAACCACAGTTTCTGTACTCCAAACCAGTTTTTTTTTCTCTCTCTCCAAAATTCTAATCGCAGAACTTGTGCTACTCTGTACTGTACTGCATTTCTGGGTACATCCAGCTGACCACAGCACAACTGTATCGCATCCAGCAACCTAAACCACTCTTGTGGTTGCTCACGTAAATACTTGGAAAATATGTGCCTCTTTAGGGCTCTCGCCTTCACTTTACACATATGTTCAAGTCTCAAAAACAGAACAAGAAACTTCCAGAGAACCTATTCACTTCAAATTACGGAGATCCCCTCTCTCTTCGGTCCACAGTAAACTTCTGTAAAAGGTCGCCTACAGTCCTTAAAGAATCACCAAGTAACTTTCCTCCCTTATAGAAGCAAAGCTTTTCAGACAAAAATCTTAACAGTAAAACATACCCACATAAGCAAGCATAACTACTATTATTCACACAAACACGGAGCCCTTAAGCAAAGGTACATTTTCCAGGAGACATACGGCTGTTGAAAGTAGCGGTTCTAAACTCGACCTCTCTAGGTCCTGGATCAGGGCAGTCCTCCTTGATCAACTCTCACTTAAAACTCGGAGCTTCCACTCCCCTAGCTGCAAAACAGAGCTAACAGTACTTCTATGAGTAGAAACATGTTTGGGTAGCCACAGTATCTGACATATGGAGACCCCACTGAGTGACAGATCAATACATGTTGGCTATTTTAGCTATTTTTCTTGTTTTGTCCCTAAATAAGTATGCTTTCACAACTAGCTATCACATCAAGCTGGTTACTTCTATAAATTCTCACTCTGCACTAAAATCACTTAGGGGGAGGACGGGGTTAAAAATACACTCTCCAGGCCCTATAAGAGGTGGGTTCAATTCATCTGGGATTGGGCCGGGTGTTAGAATTCTTTTTAAAACTCTCCAAACGGGCAGCCAGCCTTCAGAAGCACTCAGAAGTGCCTGCACTTCCACCGGGATGCATACACCACCTGTAAGGTCCGAGTTCTGAGCTGAGCAGCGAAGGCCGGCCCTCCGCCTGGACGAGGCTCCCCGAGGTGCTACGACTAGGAACCCGTCACTGCTCCCCGAGGAGCGCCAAGAGCACCAGCCAGCGAAGGACCACCCGCACTCCCGGGCTCCGTCGGGGGCCACACGCCCCTTTGCGTCCCCTTGGTGGCCCCGGCGGGCGCCAGCCCCTTCGACCCGCGTCACCGCGCCCTAGCCTCCCGCGCCACGGCCCCCTCCCGCCCACGGCACGTGACTCGACACGCGCCAGCTGCACGCGGGCTCCATCAAAACAAAAACAGAGGAGGCCGCCGGGCGGCGGCGGGCGCGCGCGGGGGAGGCGGAGAGCGGGCGCGCCCCCGCTGCCCCGCGCCGCGACCGCGCCTCCGCCGCCCCGGGCGCCGCCGGCGGCGCGCCCCGGCAGGCCGGGGGCGGGAGGGCAGAGGGCGCCACCCTGTTTACCGCCCCGGCCCCGCCCCGCCCGCGCCCGCTCCCGGAAGCGGTCTCCCGGGAGAGGGCCGGCGAGTGCGCACCCACTCGCGGCGGGGAATGCCAGCCCTGTGTGGGAGGCGCCCGGCTCCGGCGGCCCACCGCCCCTGGCTGCTGCGTGTCACCCCCGTCACGACTCTGCTACGCACTTCGCCCCCGGCTTTCAGCTCCGGCGCTTCCGCAGACCCCTCACGTGGCCGCCGCCTCCCTGCCACGGCGCTCCCCGGCGACCCGGGCTGCTGCCCCCGGCGCTGGAGGGATCCCAAGCCTGTGCCCACCCCACCTCGGACGTCACCCTCCTCGGACCACCCAACCCACACCTTCCGCCTGGGGCGGGGCGGGGGAAGGACGGCTACGAGCTGTCAGGAGCCTCCAGCTTTCCCGTGACCAAGCTCACCCTCGCCCCGATCGTCGGCCACTCACCCAGCAGCCCGGCTGCAAGCTGGAGCACACGTTTACACCGAGGGCGGACTGGGGGAAACGTCTTGATTTTTCTCCCTAATTTGCCACACACACAGGAAAAAAAAAAAAAAACAGCAGAGGCAGCTCTACCCCTGCGCTGGCATTAAAGCTTTTAAGCTCTCCACGTCATCCTACCCCATGCAACAGACTTACCGAATAGCAATGCCCACCCCACACACCTGCTAGGTAACCCGCCTTCTGGAAATCGGGGGCCCCACCCACTCCGCCTTCTGGAAACCTGCGCCTGGGGTGGGGTGGAAGCGACACAGTCTGGTATCCTAAAGTCAGAGGGAGTGAAGGGACCGGCTCCCCTCGCCCCACCCGAGCGCGCACCCTCCGGTCCCCGTCTCCAGAGTGCGCCAGGGCATCCTGCGTCCCTGCTGGAGAGAAGGGGGACGGGGCCAGAGGCCCGAGTCCCACGGAGTTGCTAATTCCAGTGGAGAACCGAGACACCGCGTCCTTTCTAATTAATAAGCACGCCACCCCCCCACCTCCAACACCCCAACCCCCCCGCCGGCCTTATTTAGTGTTGACAGTAAAGGTGGGGGACTTGGGAGAAAGGCGAGAGTTGTCTCTAGGCTCGGGATGTTGGGCTGCGCGGAGGGAAGAGGTGGGATCTCGAAATGGAAACAGCCCCCCCCTCCCTCCCCCTTCCCTCCCTTCCCCTCCTCCTCCTCCTCCTCCTCGTCTTCTGTTTACCTCAAGTTTGAATTTTATCTGCGCAACATTAGCTGGAATGCGGACATTGAAAAAAAAAACCCTCTCCCAGCCCGGCAGCAGCTCCGGAGGAGCCATGTGGCATCAAGCCACAGCAAAGGGGAAAAAGTGCTCGTAGCAACACAAACATGGCGAAATCGCTCCCACAAGCCGGCTTCCCGCTACAGCCCTACCTTCCCTCGCTTGCCTCCAGAACGTCCTGGCCGGGAACCGCAGACCCCTTCCGGGGGCGCGGCAAGGGGGCCCCAGGCCGAGCGAGGGTGGGCGCACTGGGCGTGCGAAGGGGAAATTGACTAGCCGGCCGATCCGCCCCGCCGGGAGCGGAGGGGACGCCTTCTTCACGCCCAGAGATCGCAAAGGAGAGCAAAATTCCCATCCCAAAGTCCTGTGGGACCGGCTTCCCCACACGGCGAACTTACCCCAGGGCTGAAGGCACGCTGCTTAGCTCCTTGCCTGGTTTCTTCCTCCCGGGGGCGATGCGAGGGGAAAACGATGCGCACGTAGATTTGTAGAGCGTATTCTTCGAGAATTCCCTGGGATGATCTGGAGGAGCGGTGGAGACTCCGCAGACAGGTGCCGCGCCGGCCGGGGCTGCCGGCTAAAAGTTGTTCTCCGCGCAGTGGGCGGTGGGCGGTGAGGTCCCCGGCCAGGGTCGAGGACCCCGGCTCCCTGCCCCCTGGCATCGCCCACTTGTCACGCCAGGCTGTTGCGTGCGCTCGGCTGCAGGGGAGGTGGCGTAGTTTCTCTTCCTCCCACCTCTTCTCACTCACTTGTTTTTGTAGCCGTGGGCTCCCCTAATGCTTTCCTCTCCACAATGTTGTTTCATTATATCATGTCCATCATGTGACACCGGAGAGGCCTCTCTATGGAAACTTAAAGGGGCTCCCACGTGACTGCAGCAGCAACAACAGCAGCAGGACTGGCGGCGGCGGCGGCCGCAGCGGCGTCCGTACCTCCACCCACCGGGAGCCCCTCTCAGCATCCCGGAGGGGCTTCTGGCGCTGCAGGAGCCCAGATCGCGGAGCCACAGCATCCGGGAGCCGTGGTGTCTGTGCGTGCGTGGAGCCTGTGCTCATGACATAGGAAGCCGAACAGAAGGAGCGTCCTCAAATCCTTTCCTACAGTCAGCAAACCCACGCTCTGTTAAAATGACATTTCGTGGCTCCTACTTTGTTTCCCCGGAGAGCAATGAGTTTTTCTATCAGGCCTGATTCAGTTTGACAAAAGTCAAAAAAGAAAAACCGGATTTGTCCCTCTGCGAGTTCAGTCAGATCGCTGGGAGAACAGAAATGACAAAACAATAATAACAGAAATAGAACCAGGCATTTGATACATAATTACCATCACCACGGCTTTCAAGCTTTCTGGAATTACATTCCTCCAGTAACTGTTGACGATGCTTGCAGGAGGCGAAATGCAATGCAGTTTTTCTCTTCCGCAGCTATATTAGGGCTTTGTTGCTGACAACAGTGAAAACTTGTTTGTGTCAGGAAGTGAGGTACGGAGATATGACCTGGAAGGTACAGACAAAACCAAAGTGGCAGTTTTTGCATTACTTTTCTGACCACATTCTTTCAAATGGTGACAAGAAGGCGGTCGGCTGTAAAATTCTGGGGTGTCTGATGGGAAATAAAATAATCAGAACAACATAATTATCCCTCGGCCATACCATACTTGCTAGACGCTAGAAAGTATACCTATATGTATCTGTATATGTAGAAAAAGCAAAAAGCGTGTGCACGATAATATTCTTGAATCACGAATTTTGTCATCATTTCTAGCATTAACAAACACTTGGGAAGACTGACTCAAGTCCAGGGATGTGTGGAAATTCACAATGTTGAGTGCTGTGGGTATTACTGACTCACAGTCGCTTTAAAAGTTTCTACCATAAACCCCAAATTTCTGTCTTAAAGTTTTTACAGACATGGAGATTTTATTCTGTAAATCTAAGCCAGATTGCTATTTCTGGATTTTTAGTTCATGCCTTTCCATTTTATAAGGGAAACTGGATTGGCAGAATCAAGAAAAAACTTCGCAGGAAACTGAATAGTGGGATGGAAGATGTTCTTCTCTCGTGGCCTGGCCCTGACTCTATTTCTTTCCACCTCATCAGTTTACCTCATCAGCCATGATGAATGAGCTCCACTCCAACCCATTTAATTCTGTAATATTTCTCCCAAGTTGTACCTTCCTATCTCATGCTTAATTCTTTGATCCCTTTCCTCCTATACCCCTTGCCTCCCAACTCAGCCCCTTTTCTGCCTGGGGTCTCAGCTCAGGCCTCCCCAAAGGCTGTACCCCCTCCTCAGCCCTCCTTCCCCTGTAGCTACCCCCACCTTCACCCCCACCCCCTTCCCAAATGGAGTCTCTCTTCCCCGCAGCTCTACCTCCTTACCTCTCCTTGACCTCTAATCACCTTCACAGTCTGGCCCTTCACTTCTGGGCCTCTTCTTACCTCTCTTTACCTGAAATGTCCTGGCCCTCACTGGGGTCTCCTCCACACCCTTCTCTCTGGTCCCATCCCTTCTGCTGCCAAGCCCCAGCGTTCCTCCGGCTCGGCCTGGTCGGCTTGAGCCTCATTTTGATCGCGTGCCCCTGGGCTGGGAAAGGAGTGTGTGGTGCACACTGGAGTCAAGGATCCCCCGGGGCCGTGGCCCCTGCCTCACCCCCTCCGCCCCTCCCTAGTCCCGGTTGCGGTGCTTCCTGGGCGGATGGCTTGGAATTGCTGCAGCAGCTGCGGTTCTGCTGTGTCATGCAAGAAGGAGGCGGCGGCGGCGGCCGGAGCTGGAGGGGGAGGAGGGGAGGAACCTGATCCTCCGGTAACGAAGGGCTGGAGGCAAACACCGAGCTCCTCCTGAGCCACCCGGCAGCAGGGAGGGCTCCGCTAGCCCGGGGAGCCCTCCCCGCGGGGCAGATGGTAAGTGGGGCGGTGCAGGTGGTCGCCTTGGGAAGGGAGCGCGCAGGGGGGTAAGCTGGGGTGGCGGGAAGTACTAGAAGTCACCCCACCCAAACTGAAGGAGCCCCAGTGTCCAGCTGAGAGGGACCCAGGCCGTAATAAGGATGTCCAGCCAAACGCCGCAATAATTACTATTCGAATGACGCCCCGAAGTTGACCCAAGCTACGCAGAGGGTGGAGTGGAGCATCCTGAACCCAGGGCAGAGCTGGAGGCAATGATTCAGGGTTTGAAACGCATCAGCCTATCGTCCTGGCGCTTTAAGGTGCAGCTGAGTAGGAAAAGACAACCCACATCGTATTCCCAGAGCCTTGCTGCGCTTTCTGGGTTGTCTTGTTTAAAACTAGTGAAAGGGATGGGAAACCTGCCCAACCTCACTTTAGCCACGAAAATAATGCTCTTGGCCAGTGGCCTTGGACAAACAGCCTCTTGTACAATAAAACAATCAATAGGAAGAAGAACTTCATTCCCCTCACCGCCCTCTTTCCCCAAGTTCCTTTGACCAGAGTATCTCCTTCGGCTGAAAGGAGAAAGAAAACTATTTGTGACATTCCCTCCCAGCCTACCTGCAGCCAGCCTCCTCGCAGCACAAACTGCCCACCCCGTTCCTCTCCCCATGGTCACAGCCGTGATTCCAAGAGGCATTGCAATACTACTCACGTTGGATGAGGAGACTGCCTGAAACTCTGAACAATTTCACCTCTCTTGCCCTTTGCCCACAGGGGATTCAGAAACCTACAACTAAGAGCAGAGAAATGTACGGGCAGGCTGGGCACATAGAAACATTCCTTCCTTTACCCGAGTAGAGTTCTCCAGACAACTTTTTAATTATGATTATTCCCTTCCATTGCACTCCTGGAAATTTCAAAGCACTTTGTAAAACATCATCTTTTTAATGTCAGTCATACATTTAGGAGTAAGGGGTTGATGGGATTAACTCAAAGGCTAATGACTGTCTCAAAAGCACATGCTGTTGCTAGGGAACCCAAGCTCCTGCTGCTCTCTAATCACCGGCGCCTTCCATGGAAATCAAAACTGCTCAGGGTGTTATTAAAATGAATGGCATCGGGTTAAAGTCGTTCTTGCTTATGTTGTAGCATCCTGGGTTATTATCGATTGCCTTACACCCACATATCTTGTTTTCCTAATTTGATTTCTGTATTTGCGTCACTGCCAGGGACACTCAGACTAGACCAGTCAGTTCACTTCCTGTTTCTCAGAACTGGTTTATATTTGGTCTCATAGCTCTAGCTGGTAAAACATTATCAAACTGATCCTCTTGGAAAGAAATCTTTGCTTACCGTTGAAAACAAATTATCCCAATTAAATTCTAATTCCCGTGGAAAACGTCATCATTTGAGGAGTAGACTGCCAGTTGCCATCTGAGAAACCGTCCTTGAAATGTAAAGCCTAGAAAAAAAAAATCATCTCAATTTCTTTTACCCAGAATCTTCATTCCTCAGCACTAGAACTAAGACAAACTCGAATAAAGAGTAAATTTACGTATACTCCTAAAATGAAACCGGGGTGGGGCAGGGGGTGGGAAGATACAACACGTTGAAGCTGGGGAAATCATTTAGACTAAATAAGGCATAGCACTGAATGGAATCCAGGCCCAGGAAGGACAAGTAAGCTTGGGTTAGCATTGTGGCATTCAGAGAACAGAGTGATTACAAGGCTGCACTACAAATAGGAAACTCCATCACTTTGTGTACTAATTGTCTCTTTTACCAATTCCCCTATGTCCCTGGACAAGACAACCTTGTTTTGTTTTGTTTGTTTTCAGTTCCTTCCTCTTTATAACAAGGATATTGCAAAGGCAATACCATAATGATAAGCACTATGTAAATAGGTGGATTCTGATGCAGATAATTTGTTTAGATGGAAAATAAAACCCTTTGAAAAAGATGTATAATGGCACCAACAGATTGGATGACCTTGAGTGAGCCATTATAGGTCTTATGTCAGTTTCCTCGTGGAAGTTTAAATGAAAGTGCTGGACTAGAGGATCTCTAAAAAGTCCTCCCATTTACAAACTTCTGTGATGAGATTGAACTCACTACATAAAAATTTCAGTTTTAACTGGATTTTGCAATGTTAACTTTTAGCACCGAACCTTTAATGTCTATCCATAGAAACCTTGAGGGAAACAATGGGAGATGACTTTCTATTGATGCATCCATTTTTAGTGTCAGTTGCCACAAAAATGAAATCTACCTTGCTCCCCAAGTACTTACTCTCTCCCTGCCTCAATGGCGTTGTAAAAGCAACAGGCTAAGAGTTACAAAAGGATATAAAAGTATAGAGAAAGTTCTTTCAGTCTAGTTATTTATTTATAATGACAGCATCTCAGCGTATTACCCAGGCTGGCCTCCAACTCCTGGACTCAAGGGATCCTTCCGCTTCAGCCTCCTGAGTAGCCAAGGCTACAGGTGCACTCAACCATGCCAGCCGTTCCATCATTTTAGATATAGGTAATCCTAAGTACTCTGATGATCCAAGTGGTGGAATGATGGAGGAAGGACTGTACAAAAAAGTAATCGTCATGGAACTAATAATAATCTATTTACCTGTGTTTTAATTAGTGCTGGGCAAAAATAGACCTAGCTCAGCTCTTAGAATTATTCAGATTCACTGTATGGAGAAGTAGCATGAAGAAATGTGAGATTTGTGCCAGAGAGAAAAGACCTGACTTTGAAACCCGACTCTGCCACTTTATTCATTATTGAGTGCTTGCTGTGTGTCAGGTACCGTGCTGGGTGCTGGGAATACATGGATGAATAAGACACAGTTTCTGCTCTGAAGGGCACTATACTATCATGAGAACAAAGGTGAATACACAGTTGATTACGCAAGCATGAGATGATATCAACAGGGGAGCTCATAAGAAGGGTGCTAACGTGACCACACATAGGATCTCTAACCACACAAGCTGAATCTTGAGATGAGTTCGGAAGGGTATGTAGAAGTAAGCCAGACAAATGGGCAGGTTACAGGGAAAGATATTCCGGGCAAAGAAAGTACTACGTGTGAAGACCTTGGGGAAAAAGCTGTGCCCAGAGAGTTGAGGGTGAAGAACAGTGCCTGGCAAGTAGGTTCTAAATAAATACTTTGTATAAATGAATGTCAGAAATCCAGAAAGATTAGTGTGGTCGAGTATGCCTTCTTAAGAAGTTTGAACTTATTCTAAGGCCAATGGAGAACCACTGATGAATTTTAAGGGGCATAGTAAAGTGATCAGATGTTGATTTTGGAAGATCTTTCAGCTGGGTGCAGTGGCTCACTACTCTAATCCCAGCACTTTGGGAGGTTGAGGTGGGCAGATTGTGTGAGCTTAAGAGTTCGGGATCAGCCTGGGCAACATGGTGAAACCCCGTCTCTACAAAAATACAAAAAAAAAAAACAAAATTAGCCAGCCCTGGTGGCCCACACCTACAGTCCCAGCGCCTCAGGAGGATCACTTGAACTGGAGAAGCAGAGGTTGCAATGAGCAGAGATCATGCCACTGCACTCTGGCCTGGGGAAACTTACAATCATGGTGGAAGGTGAAGGGGAAGCAGGCACCTTCACTACGAGGCAGGAGAGAGAGAGTGTGCAGGGGAGGCTGCTACTTTTAAAACCGTCGGATCTCATGAGAACTCCCTCACTATCATGAGAACAGCATGTGGGGAAATGCCCTTATGATCCCATCACCTCCCACCAGGTCCCTCCCTCAGACATGGGGATTACAATTTGATATGGGACACAGAGCCAAACCATGTCACATTATAAGAAAGAAATAATGATTGATGTCTAAATTAAGGTAGCAAGAATGGAAATGGAGAGCGGAGGGATTGAAAGGCTTCAAGAGATATGAAGGACATAGAACCAACGAAATCTGATTATTGATGGTATCCTTCGTCAGTGGTATCCTCCCATTTTCCTAAACTCTCCTCTCATCATATCCTGCAGATATAGCCTGAGGTCAAGATAGGGACCTCAGGAGGAAAAGCAGGTTGTGGAGTGAAGGTAATTAGTTTACTTTTCAACATGTTGAGTTGAAGTGTCCATGAGATATTAAAGTGAAGCTATCTACTATATAATTGAACAGGGAAGTCTAGAACTCAGGAGAGAGAGATCTATTCTAGAGTCTTCAGAATAAGGGATAGTTCACGGACGTAGGTGAAATCCCTGAGAGAAGGGATAGAGAAAGGAAAGAAGAGAATCTACTTTGGAACCCTATGAAAACACCGACATTTTAAAAGTGAGGAAAGAAAACATACAAGGGAAAAATATCCCAAGAGGTAGAAGGAACAGGACACGTAATTTCAGAGGAGACATGGGAGAAAACATCAGCAATATTAAATGCCAGAGAGAGGTCAAGAAAAAGTGGCCGGATGCGGTGGTTCATGCCTGTAATCCCAGTACTTTGAGAAGCTGTGGTGGGCGGATCACCCAAGGGTAGGAGTTCGAGACCAGGCTGACCAACATGGCGAAACCCTGTCTCTACTGAAAATATAAAAATTAGCCAGGCATGGTGATGCGTGCACCTGTAGTCCCAGATACTCAGGAGGCTGAGGCACAAAAATCACTTAAATCCAGGAGGCAGAGGTTGTGGTGAGCTGAAACTGTGCAAATGCACCCTAGCTCAGATGATAGAGCAAGACTGTCTCAAGGAAAAAAAAAAAAAAAAAAAAAAGAAGGGCCAGACGTGGTGGCTCATGCCTATAATCCCATGTAATCCCAGCACTTTGGGAGGCCGAGGCAGGCAGATCACGAAGCCAGGAGTTTGAGACCAGTCTGGCTAACATGGTGAAACCCTGTCTCTACTAAAGATACAAAAAATTAGCTAGGTTTGGTGACTGATGCCTGTAATCCCAGCTACTCGAGAGGCTAAGGCAGGAGAATCACTTGAACCTGGATGGAGGTGGCAGTGAGCCAAGATGACGCCATTGCAGTCCAGCCTGGGCAACACGGCAAGGCT